GGAGATATAGTAGAAATGACATCATAAATTATACTTTTTGTGAAGTTCAAATACAGTTCTGAGGTTACTAAATTGTATTTTTCCTTCCTTCTTAACAGAGAAGCAAATTATAATATTTGTACCTTGAAAAGTCAAAACTCAATTTTCTGTTATATGTCTTAAAACCATTTTCTTTCCAAATTGCTTCTTGATTGCTGCAAAAGTATAATTTATATTTGCAACAGGTATTATTCCACCAATTTACGTCAAAATTAAGAGAATCATAAAAATCTGTCATACGGACTTAAAAAAAAAGGTGCATTATGTAACATTTCTGCTGGAAGGTCCGTCAAATGCTTTTCTCCATGGAGTAGTCTTTGCTCTACCTGGAATGTTCCACAATATGACATTAAACAGCACTACTTTACATCTTTAAAATTGTTGGTTTTATAGCTCAAAAACACCTAGAAAAACAGGCATTCTGACTGTGAGCGGGGTCGCCTCTCCTCAGATCTGACCTGTAACTTCGTCTGGTTTGGTCTCTATGAAGATTCAAAGGTTTAATGCCATACTGTGAAACATTCCAAACAAAGCAATAACATCCCCAAGGAGAAAAGTATCTGACCAAAAGTATCCTGTACAACTTTAAGAGCTTGTTTCACCCTGGCTTTATTAAGAACAAACGCAATTAAATCAGCTTCTATCAGGGTATCCAATATGTTTCCTGTAAAGTACACAAATCGCTGTGAAAGTATGTAGAAAAATTCATTTCATAAGTTTGACAATCAGAGAGTTTGACAATGGCGTTTTGGTCTCAGATTGGGTTAAGTAAACAAGCGCGTGGGCTGAGGATTGGACATATGGCGGTTGTGAGCAGGTAACAACAGAAGGTAACAGAAATCAAGCTTTCCCAAGACACAAACCTGAATACATTTGAATAACAATGAGAAGATGACTCAGGGAAGTTTGCATAAAACTTTAAGACAACACGATTTGGAAGAGGTGAACTTACTGGACGTCGCAAAACAACCGTTGCATAAGAAATCATTGTCATTCAGGTGCAGGTTTGACGGATGCTGCGATTTCTGCTATGAGAAATAAGGAGTCTAACCCACAACCTCGTTACAGAGAGGAGGAGATGTATGGACTGGATGAAGAAGTTGACTGAGGGAGTGTGACGTCACCCATGGAGTTCAGCTTCAGTCAAATGAAGCTCAACGAGACTAGAGGTTATAGGGACGAATTTTAGTTTAGAATACTAGATTTTGTATTGGAGGATGTACCACCTGCGTGTCTCCATGGAGATTGCCATTGCTTTGCTTGGAATGTTCCACAGTATGGCATTAATGAGATGAACAGATCTGTGGAGAGGTAAGCCTGCTAGGAGTAAGAACGCATGCTACTTAAATGTTACATATAGGGCCCGACCGATATGGATTTTTTTTGCAGCCGATATATTTAGTGATGTAAAAATTCACTGTAAATCTTCAACTGATTATAAAAGTTAGGTTTGACTCTACTGGATTTTAAATTGGATTAGTTTAGGCTACATTTACTGTTATTTTGCCTCTTTACAGTCATATTTAAAGACAGTAGGTTGGCCTAATGGTATTTTTGCATGACATTCTAGCCAGTAAACCAAGTAAGTAAATTAACGCTATCAGCCTTTATGCATGCACGCCGCAGTAATTAATTATACGTGTAAATGCAGATCATTCACACCTCTATTCACAGCACATTTACATATTAATGCAGGTCCAGTAACATAGTCACAGTAGGACAATGGAAGAGAAAACAGGCTGTTTATGTGTGGTGGCTACAGCACCTAAGAGCTAACCAATGAGAAAGAACCAAAAGTAGCTCTAAAACCGACACATTTGCAACACTCAGCACTCAAACAGGCTCCGCTCAGATCACAAGTCTTCACAAATAAGTGCTCTTTTCATCCTGACTCAAAACGATTGTCGGTAAAAAGAACATAATCCGGCATGTTGCAGCAGCTGCGTGCGTGTCCTTTGTCTGTGGGACAATCCTGTCTTCTCCGCACTCAAACAAGCAGTAGTTTTGTTTATTTATAGTCAGTATTGTGGATCAGACACAAGAGCATTTAAAGCAGCACCTCAGTGTTGCGCACATGGATCTATGGCTGTGCCCGGGTGTAAAGAAGAGCAAGTGAATCACGTGAGGCTGGTGGTACGTTCAGGGACAGTACAACGTCACAAACACAAATTACTCCGCAGATATTACACAGATTAGGACATTTATCTGTCTGTAAATTGGATTAAATGGCCATAATATAAATAGTCTAAGCTTTATAATGAGGTATAACATGCCCACGTGGACTATTGGCCCATATCGGCCAATAATATGGACCAACCGATATATTAGTCAGGCTTTAGTTATATAGGTAACAAAGGTCTTATATTACAGAAACTTGATGCTTGTGAGGTTTTAGCCATGTTAGAATACTGTTACTACAAAAACATACTTAAGTTTGAGTAATCCTTTTTTTATAAATCTGTCTACATCTCCAAAGCTCAAAATGCTCTGTTCCACCTTGTGATGTCATGAAGGTAGTTTTCAAGTTACAGCTACCTTTAACCTTTTGTTCAGTACAGATTGGCAGTTCCAGGACTGAAATTATCCAAATGATTCTCGTGAAGGTGTATGAATTTTAAAAACACATTGGAGCACTACTTGTATTACCACATGACAGAGTGTTTTCAGTTTGAGAAAAGAACCTAAATATGCAGGGTTTGTGTGTTAAATATGTGCGAATGAAACAAAACACAACTCCAGGTATGTTTTTTAACATTATAACAGATATATATTGGAAAATATCGTAATATAAACATTTAAACAGTGCAAATATAGTAAGTACTCCATCCATTTGTCCTACATTTTCAGTTGACGCAGAGTTGGCAAATCCAGCATTCTAAAAGTACAGCCATCATCACCTCTGCATAGTGAGCTCATTTAGAAGATAAATATGGTATGGGCGAAGCGCGCAGTCCTCCAGGGATCCATCCACTTCATCTTATGGCAGTAAATAGTCCCACAGCTGCAGCTCAGGGCTTCATATGAGTTACATTGGTCATAATTAAAGGGAATAGGAGAGAGTTTGACAAGGGTGAGGTAAGGCGTATGTAACAGGAGTCTACAAACTGAAGCTTTCAATAAAGTAGAATAAATAGAAGAGAGAATCGTAAGTTACCGTTTTCTGGTGTAAGATTGAAGTTAAGGCCTCCAAGATTAATTAAAATGAAACTGCAATTTGAATGGACATAGGTACCAAATCTCAAAGGCTGCAGTGTTTCATGTATTGGAAATTCCTCCACAAACATCAAAATACACTCTTATTCTGCTCGAAATGGTGAACCCTGTAGTTTAGATCTGTACAAACATGTTCTGAAATGTGATCCTATTATTAGTTTGTCAGTTTATATTTCAGTCTTTTTGTCTGTTCTTGTGGACGTGTTGAAAATGTGAACTTTGAACAGAATCCTATTGTTATTATCTCTCTTAACCAATCATCTGTCAAGCAATTCATATGCACTCTCTCCTTTCATCATCCTAATCTTTCATCTACGTGCTGCAACTGTAGTTCATATCCACTGCAGCGCAACCACTGGCCTCCTCAATCTATCTCCTCCTCACAACTAGAACATTAACTGAACAAGCTCTTCCTCCATCACAAGTCCATCACAATGTCCCTTCATCGTTTCTTTGACAACTTTACTAGTGTTTATTTCAGCAGGATACTAAACAATACACTACAACTTCACAAACCTGACGTGCCGTAGCTTCATTAGTTAAAGCACTCTGATTGTAATGTCATAGTGCTCTGAAGGAGTGGGTGACTTAGCGTTGGGAGCAAAGGGAGTCACTTTTCAATAGTGATATTTAGCATTTTCAAACCAATAAAATGTATCATGGTTATTTACATAAGTTATGTGTTAGCAGTGAACACCCCATAGACTTGTAATACTCCCTCTTTAAATGTGGCACATTTGACTCTTGTCAGCTTTAAGCCATGTTATAATGTTGATGCCTCCTCAAAAACATATCTAGAGCTGTGTTTTGTTTCATTCATTTTGAGAAATCCTTTATATCACAGGTGTCAAACATACGGCCCGGGGGCCAGATCTGGCCCTCCAAGACCTTTAATCTGGCCCTCGGCTGATTTTCTACAAAAATATTTTAATTATATTTTCTATTAAAATTTTCTGTGCGTGGCCCCTCCCACCAGAGCAGCACAAATGAAGACTTGTCTCTTTCCAAACGCTCTTAAAGGACGATCGTTTTGACTGTTGACCGTGACACCCTCATCAGCAAAATGTCCAAAATTAGAAAAGTGGAGCCAAGTGCAGGATTTTACAACAAAAACTGACTTATTCCTATTTGCAAACAAAGTTCGTGTTAAAGCATTGTGTTGAAATGTTTCTTAAAGTTTCAGGTTGTTCATAATATTATAATATTTTGTAAAAGAAAGAGTTCATCAATTCAAAAAGATTTGTGTAATAGATTTGTGTTTCTCTGCACAAATATTTGAACTTATTGTTATTTTTGGGGTTTATATGTCATGAGTTTTCTGATCCGACCGACTTTGGGATCAAAGTCAGTTTGATACGGCCCCCAGACCAAAATGAGTTTGACACCCCTGTTTTATACGTTTACATCTCCAAGCTCAAACTACTCTGCTCTACTTTGTGATGTCATGTAGTGGTAGTTTTGAAGTTAACAGTTATCTTTAATCTTTTGTTCAGTAGAGAATGGCCATTTCGAGGGCTGAAATTACCCAAATGATTCTAGTGTAGGTGTATGGAGGTTAAAAACACAGTGGAGCTCTTCTTGCCACATGACATCACAAGGTGTTTTCTGTTTGAGAAAAGAGCGCAGCCTAAATTTGTATGTTAAACAAAACAAATGTGTAATGATGAAGAAAGCACACTATAACATACATCAGAAAATAGCGTAATCTAGTCCCTTTAAATCGTAAAAGCATGTGTGTGTTTACTCACACATTGGTGGTGAAGATGCCGTAGATCAGGTCCTGCTCGGGGAGATAGAAGGTGCTCTGTAGTTCGTTATAGTAGAAGGGTATCTCTCCTGATCTGGAGCAGTTGAGTCTGGCCTTCATGAAGGTGGTCCAGGTGTCCTCCAGGAGAAAGCGCCCCCCGATGTCGTTCTTGCAGACGCGCGCCACACGAGAGTACACCGTCTTCCCACAGTCGTGCTCCACCGCGTTTTCACGAAGGAAGAAGAACGTGAACAGGCCGATGTCGTACGCCGAGATGAAGTGAGGCTCTGGAAAAGGAGAGAGAGAGTTTAAAATTGTGTAACCTTTCTCATAGAGAGTCCACCACCTGCATGGAGATGGAGATATTCCACAGTATAATATTGATACTTTGACATCAGTTACCATGGTGACACAATGGACACATTAACAAACATAGACAAAAATGCTTTAAGAGCTTTGTTTTCATGGTTCATGGTTTTGTGTTCTGTTTAAGTGTTTTCAACAAAAAGCTGAGAGTGACAAGCTGAAAAAGTGTTGGCTAACAAGCGGACTAAGCGAGTGTGACATCATCAAGCCCCGGGGTTTCAAAATGGCCGCCCATTCAAGTCAATGGGCCAAGCTCAATGGCGCATGATCCAAGATTAGCCTTTAGCCCGGCTGGGTACTTCCGGTGGCCGTGGGCCGACCAAGCATGCGCAGTAGTGCTCTTTTCTCCTGCGGACACACGTGAATACACACCCTGAGTGCACGTCCGGAGTGCAGGCTCGTGTATCACGTGATTGCTTTGACCAATCAGAGCGAGAGGAGCTAAGAGAGGAGCTAAGAACGGAGCAGAGCGGAGCCGGAGCTAATGATTATAAAGCGTTTTTTTAGACAACTGAAGGATTTTGAGCTGAGAAAAATGTTATGATCTAAAAATAGGTAAAAATCACCACAAAATCCAACATTTTTGAAAATTGTAGGTGCCCTGTCAGCCGAACACGAGCAGTTTGTGATTACATTGAGAAAATTACTATGAGAAAAATCCTCTCTCAGCCCATGGGAGTTTTTTCTGCTGTAGTACCAGTGAGTGTCCACTACATCAACTGGAGGCAGCTACAAGCAGCAATACCCTATCCAGTTATTTTAATAGATCCATCGATGTCACCCATAGAGTTTGGCTCCAGTCAAATGAAGCTAACAAGGCTAGCAGTTATTAGTAATGGACAAAATAGTGAAATAAAAACACCAGGATCAAATAGAGCAGGTTAAAACCCTAACGACAAAAATGACGAGGCTCATTGCAGCAGTTACAGAGAGAGGAATGACGGTTTTTCAATAGAACATGAACTGATGCCAGAGTCAATGGAGCCGGAAGCGAGCCCATGCTCACTTCCTATTAACGCAGCGGCTAGTGGTTTAGTGGTTTTTGCTTGCTCAAGGACACAACAGCAGTATGTTCTTGAGTGAAAAGTCATAGTTTTATCTGCAACGCTGCTAGAAAAATGTATTTAATGCCATACAGTGTAATATTCCAGACAAGGCAATAACATCTCTATGTGGATTTTTTTCTGTTTCTGCTGACTCATGTTTGTAGTTTTATAACAGTCATATTAATTCTGGATTTGACCTGATGTGTCTCCCCGTGGGCCTTTTTTGTCGGTAATAAAACTCAGATAAAAGAGTCACCAGTCCACAGTCACAACACACAGCCCCACAGATTTACCCTCAAAACCTCATTCAGATTGAGGCGCGCTTGTTTTATATCTCTGTATCTCCCTCCATCCACTCTTTCACACATACAGTCTGACATTGAGATCTGACGCCGGCCAAGTTGTGAGGGCTTTTAATGCAGCAGATAACAGGGTCAAAGCAACACTATAAACATAGAGAAAAATGTTAGATTTTCTTGGAGACTTTTGCTGATAAGTACTCGGATTCTTGCCCTCAAAACAAGAGCGAGTTGTTGTTGCTGAGATAATAAAATTCAATGCCATACGGTGGAACATTCCAGGCAAAGCAATGACATCTTCACGGAAATTAGTACTAGAAAAGTTACATTGTGCATATAGGATAAATGTGGTTTAGTCCTGCTTTAGCCCTAGTGACACTCTGGTTTAGTTAGACCTGGTTTACAACTGGTTTAGTCCTGGTTTAGTCCTTGTTTAGTCCTGGTTTAGACCTAGTTTAACCCTGGTTTAGTCCTGGTTTAGACCTAGTTTAGACCTGGTTTAGACCCGCATTAGACCTAGTTTAACCGTGGTTAAATCCTGGTTTAGATCTAGTTCAACCCTTGTTTAGTTCTGAGGTAGACCTAGTCCTGGTTTAGCCATGGTTTAGGCCTGGTACAGCCCTGGTTTAGGTCTGGATTAGACCTATATTAGACCTGGTCCAGTCTTGGTCTAAAACCAGGACTGAACCTGGTATAACCCTGGTTTAATCCTGGTTTAGACATAGATAAAACTGGTTTAGTTCTGGATTAGATCTAGTCCAACCCTTGTTTAATTCTGGTTTAGACCTAGACCTGGTTTAGTCCTGGTTTAGTCCTAGTTTTAGACCTAGTTTAACCCTGGTTCAATCCTGGTTTTAGCCAACCCTGGTATACTTCTGGATTAGACCTGTTTTAGACCTGGTTCAGTCCTAGTTTTAGACCTAGTTTAACCCTGGTTCAGTCCTGGTTTTAGACCTAGTTTATACCTGGTTCAGTCCTGGGTTAGATGTGGTTTTAGACCTAGTTATAAACCTGGTTTAGTCTTTGGTTAAACCTGGTTTAATATCGGTTTAGTCCCGTTTTAAACCTGTTTTAGTCCTTGTTTTAGACCTAGTTTAACCCTGTTTCAGTCCTGAATTAGTCCTGTTTTAGACCTGGTTCAGTCCTGGTTTTAGACCTGGTGTAACCCTGGTGTAGTCCTGGGTTAGTCCTGGATTAGACCCGTTTTAGACCTAGTTTAACCCTGGTTCAGTCCTGTATTTGATCTTTAGTCCCTGTTTATCTGAGCTCTTGTGTAATGTAAAACTCCTCATATCCTCCCTCATTTCTGGATCTAAAACAATATTTACTCAGGACGTCTCAGAACACACAGCCCTAAATATCTGTCTCATTCTATTCCTCTGTCCCTGCGTCTTGTGTACAGACAGCAGCTGATCCGAACTCTGCCAAATTCTACTTAAATTGGCGACAATAGCATCATTACTCACACATTTCCAGGAACAAGACGCGTTATCTGGCAACTTTTCACATCTCTCACTTTCCAAAACACATCTCTTAACAAATGCACCCTTAATTACTTTGTGGAGGTGATTATTTTAGTTTTAAATAATATGTAATAAAGATGGGTACACTTGTATTTGCTGTAAAGACATATTGTGTACTGAACCAGGACTAAAACAGGACTGAACCAGGACTAAACCAGGACTAAAACAGGACTGAACCAGGACTAAACCAGGACTGAGTGTTGGTATAGGCCCAGAGGTGCTAAGACTAGGACCAGACCGGGACCAGACCAGAACTGAGACCGGGATTGAGAGCCTGACCGTTTCGGAACCAGACTGGGACTGAGACTGGGACCAGACCAGAACCAGATCGGGACCAGATCGGGACTGATACCAGGACCAGTCCGGGACCAGACCATGATTGAGACCAGGACGGAGACCGGGACCAGACCGGGACCAGACCAGGACAGAGTGTGACTGGACCGGGACCAGACCGGGACTGAGATTGGGACCAGTCCAGAACCAGACCGAGACCAGACTGGGACTGAGACCAGGACCAGTCCGGGACCAGACCATGATTGAGACCAGGACTGAGAGTGTGACCGGACCGGGACCAGACCGGGATTGAGACCAGGACTGAGAGTGTGACCGGACTGGGACCAGACCGGGATTGAGACTGGGACCAGACCAGAACCAGACCGAGACCAGACCGGGACTGAGACCAAGACCAGTCCAGGACCAGACCATGATTGAGACCAGGACTGAGACCAGGACCAGACCAGGACTGAGACCAGGACCAGACCAGGACCAGACCATGATTGAGACCAGGACTGAGACCAGGACCAGACCAGGACCAGACCAGGACCAGACCAGGACTGAGACCAGGACCAGACCAGGACCAGACCAGGACTGAGACCAGGACCAGACCAGGACCAGACCAGGACTAGACCAGGACCAGACCAGACCAGACCAGACCAGACCAGGACCAGACAGACTGAGACAGACCAGACCAGGACCAGACCAGGACCAGACCAGGACTGAGATCAGGACCAGACCAGAACCAGGCATCGCAGTTTAAGTCACAGAAGTTTTTTTCCATTATTCATTTAAACACAAAATTGAAAACGGAAAAAACAAATCGTTATCCGTTTTCCATTTTGGTTTTGGAGACAAATAATGAAGAAAATATTTATTTTAAATTTTCTTATTTTTGGTTTCATTTTGAAAAACAAATAAACGAATGATACACAGATAGAAAACCATGGATGTTTTTTTTTTACTTGTTTCACAACATTTCTGACAGGTTTCTAAAAAACTTTGCTTGAAATTAGGAAGTGAATCTGACCACATGTACTTGAGACATTTACTTAAATGTGCATTGTGTAACTTTTCTGGTGGGGGTCCATCACCAGCTTGTCTCCAGTGATATTGCCTTGCCTGGAATATTCCACAATATTGCATTGAACACATCCCTGTAATTGTGTTTTGGATTGGAGGACTTGTCGTGGTCACTATGTAAATTGTCAACATGATTCAACAATAAAAATGATGAGTTTTGTCGTAGCTTCAGATTTGTTCTATTTTTGGACTTGAAAAATGTTACTAAAATGGCTCCCCTCATCCGTCACGCCAACGGCTGTGGGCTAAACAGGAAACAAAAAGCAAAACTCAACCCTCTGGCATTTTCTGAAACTGGAGCTGAGACTTTCCTTGGATTTAGATGGACAAAAATGGAGAAATAACCTCAACAAACTTTGAGAAAAACAGGTTTAAAAACATTTTTCCATCTTGGTGTTAAACGCAGCTGAACTTGGAGTGTTGACCCCGTAGGGCAGTGGACACATAGCTTCAGGATAAGGTGATTTTCGGAGTTTGACGCTGACATTTGGCAGCCTGTCCATGGAGAATTGATAAAAATGCTTACCAAGAAATGATTCAGGTAACATTTACTACAAAGTGTGGTTTTATGCACCATGAGGCCTGAGATAGCACTACAGAGGACTTTAAGCATGTGTAATGTGGAACAAGTTAAAGACATTTTTGTGTTGTTGAGGTTTTCAAAATACACGAAGACCAAAGACCAGATTTATAGAGG